GCCAGTGCATACAAATTTTCTAATATAATATTTGCAAACATTTTTCTCTGAGATATATAATTATCAATATTTTATTGTATGTTAATTGCTTTTAAGAATTATTTAACCTTAAAAATATTTTTAAGCAGTAGCATTCATGTATTTTGATTATCGAAGTTATTTGAAAAGCAATGAAATATCTAGATACATACACAAAATATAACTAAGAGTCAATCATATATATTTTGATCAATATTTAGGTAAGACTTCCAAATAGCCTACCTTCAAATTTAATGAAACTTGCAGCAATTGTAGAGCATTAAAGAACACGTACACACTATAAAGGATTTTGTACGGAAACAAATAGGAACGGAGAAATTAAAAAAAATACAGATGATAAATTGTATGATTACCTATTGGGTAATTGTTTACATGGAGGGAGTCACCTTGGATGACCTTGATATTTTAATATCTTGTCAAGGTCACCTTCCTGAGTGACCTTTAGAAAGTTTCAGTCCGCGCTCGTTATTTATTCAGAAGTTATTAACACAAAAAATTTGAGAAATGTGGCTGTTATTTTGAGTATTAAAAGGCATAAATGACTAATATAATGTTGAAATAGTACATGCATGAACAAAGAAAATACGATGCAATACAATACAAATGAATAATTTGCACATCGCCGTCTATCATATAGTATAATAATATACACAGAATCAGCAGTGAGAAAGAGAGAAAAAAAGAGAAAAAGAAAAACAGTACACACGTAAGCGAGGGAAGAGCAACCGCACCTTCCCCGAAAACAGGGGTGTGGAGGTGAACCTCGGTTCGCGTGAAAAGTGTATGCGTGAACTTTTCATGCGTGGAAAGTTAATATAAAATTTTAAATAATACTTTAATTGTGTGTGTATAAACAGTACACACGTAAGCGAGGAAGGGGCTACCGCACCTCCCCCGAAAGCAGGGGGGTGAATTTCGGTTCGCGTGAAAAGTGTATGCGTGAACTTTTTATGCGTGGAAAGTTAATATGACTTTTTAAATAATACTTCAATTGTGTGTGTATAAACAGTACGCACGTAAGCGAGGGAGGGGCTACCGCACCTCTCCCGAAAGCAGGGGGAGGTGGAGGTGAACCTCGGTTCGCGTGAAAAGTGAATGCGTGGAGGCAGTAGGTTCCGCCCCCTGCGGGGGCTCCACTATTGTTAAACTAGACACATAGTGTGCCTTCAAAGTACATGCGTTGGCTTTAAAATTTCCATTCACTGCTTTAAAAAACTTTCCTTTGTTCATACATGTACTATGTCCACAAGTTTCATCAAATTTCAGCCACTAGATTATTGTCTATAAATTAGAATAAAAATTTTGAATTTTTGACGCCAATTTCTCCGTTCCTATTTGTTTCTGTACAAAATCCTTTATAGTATGAACGTGTCCTCTAATGGTCAACAATTGCTGCAAGTTTCATCAAATTCGGAGGTAGGGGCTATTCGAAAGTTGAGCCAATATTTATAATATGTCCGTAAATTTACATAATAAACATATATACATACATTTTTTAGAAGAACAATGGAAGTTTCTGATTACCTTAACTGACGAGTTTTATCCCATTGGAAAAGCTTGGGGATTCTTTTTTCCCGTAATATCCATCCGTCATTCGAATGGTTTAGAGGTAAAATATGAAAGAAATATTATCCTGCTTTTTTTAGTATTGATATATTGACGATAAGGTGTTTATTTTTTTGTTTTTTTTTTATTTTAAAAAAATATATTTGTTTGTCAAAAGTCTGAAATAATTGTATATTTAAAATTAAAGATGATTATCTCTTATTCATTCATCTCTCAGAGATAATTAAATATTTAAAATACTTTTTGAATCAATTAATTGATTATTTAAATGGCGTCTAAATTAAATAACATTTAACTTAATATTTTCTGTAATTTTAGACAATATTAAGCAGCACAAAACATATCAAAAAGAGTCTTCTTTATGATGTTTTACAACCTTGGTTCGGTACAGGTCTTCTCACTAGTGGAGGTAACATCACAATATTAATATAAATAATGGTACATGTTTTATTAAGGTTTGTTTTTGCTTGTTATTAAATTTTGTTTCAAGTTTTAATTTTGTTGATAACAGAATAAATCTATGTAACATAAACAGCATATATTATATCACACAGTAATTAAATTTACATATATGTTTACAATACCTCATATTAATCATAAAAAAATAATTGTAAGTATTATTAAATATAAGAAAATAAATTAATAATTAAAATAATTACATTGAATATAAATATTATAAAAAAATAATAATAAGGGTATAAAAAAGAATTTCTTTCTTGTACGTTTGTTTGAGATTGTGATAATCCGTATCACGAAAACCGCTTTCGGTTGCATGTCAGCGCGAGCACGCTTTCAATAAAATATTCGCATAAAATTTCTATTCAAAAGAGTGGCCTTTGTCACGTTACAGCATGGATCTTTCGTTATTCTTTCCAGAAAGTTCGATATTAGCAATAACGCAGCCACGGCTGACCGGTCGCACAAACAAAGTCAAGCAACCCGCTCTCTCACACAAAGGAAAGATTCATGCTATAAACATTGCGGTCGCAAACAAGTAACGATCACTTCGGGTCGTCACGTGAAAACGTCAGCTCGATGACGTAGGCCGCCGATGGCCAATCATCCTCCCGAAAATATTGGTAATCTGCCTGGAGGGAGCCTCGTCTCGAAGGTGATAAAAGATCACCGCTGCGCCGCGGAATCGATTCTCGTTCGCAGATCACCCCCCAAGTATATCTATACGACCGCTTATACACCGCCTTACGCGTAGAGATCCGCTCTCTCTCTTCGCTGTCGAAG